GTTGCTGCCGACAACCCGTAACGCAGAGGGCAGATGCTCATGTACGTGTAGGGAGAAGCCGGAGACATGGTCGTCGCTGGGAACTAAACCATGCAACATCCTTTCTTTTAAGTGAATGATATGTAACAAATTAAAGATATTAAGAATATTTCTCTTCTCCACTAACCTGTCTGAAAAATCCTAAAATATCTTCTTCTTTTTTACGGAGGGATTACAAGCTAACATCAATATACATACATTTTTCTGCTAGACTGGAAAAAAAAACGCGCTCTGTGGACGGTGGCATTGCAAGTTAATAAATTTGGTCATGCCCATGTCATGCGGATGCGGAGGACGGTAGCCGGTATGGTGGCGCCGTACGGTTCCCGTACGAGAGTTGGTGATGCACATGTCATTTCGGGAGGACCGTTACCGTGACGGCACGCATGTATGCAGAGTTGGTCGGTCATTGCTTATTTGCTTTGGTGGTGCTTCTCCGATCCGGCATCACGTACGTACGCTATTGGGTGACGACGAGCATGTGCGATCGATCGGCAAATAGACATCTCTTATAATCCATCTTTTTCAGCCTCGTTATTTCAGTCGGAATCGTGTTTTTCTTTTCCAACAAATCAGTCAGAACAGTGTTTCAGCTTGTTTTTTCAGCGAAGCGAATGGAGCCATATATGCATGCGCCGCGTAATGAAGACCCAACTCCTTCAGATGGAAATCCTCACCCTCTCTCAGGTCAGCAAGATCAGCTACATCAGCGGCAGCCAGTTTTTGATATAATCTTGCAGGATCTGGATGAAGTGCAACAGGCTAATATGGATGAGGGTTGGGAACCAAATCATTTTCCTGATGCAGAGCAGCAATAGCTAATCTAAATGGTGTCTGGTAAGCTTGACAAGAGCAGCAGAGCATACTAGTACCGCAAGCAGAACTTCAGCAAGTAGAGGAGTTGGCAAACAATTTGGTTCAGCAAGCAATGCTCTAGCACCCTGACCATATATCCTCAATTGTCTAGGTCAGTCAGCCCAGGAACAAGGGAGTTCTTTGGTGCTGAAGATCCACCAATAATCCCGAAGCTGCCTTTAGCCAATCTTTCAGAAGTTGCACCTTGATTCAAGTCTTGACCACAACAGTGATTCCTCTGTTAGAAGAATGGCCAAGATTCTTGGGTAGCACCAGTGTGTTGGGCCTTCTCCTTTCTATCCGGATGCTTATCACTGAAATTTCTGAGTTAGCAGATCGGGCCCATGGGGCGGAGCTAAGCCAATCCGAGAGGGGTGCGCTTTCCTTGTGGGTGCAAGGATAAATAATATATGTGGGTGCAAATACGATGAAAAATTAGCCATTTCTAGTGGGTTTTTTTAATTTTTCATGTGGACACACATTACTATAGCTCCGCCCATTGCATGAGGGGACTCGATTTTTTTTAAATAATATTTTTTAATGAGTAATTGCAAATCTAGAAGCTATTATAAAAAAATGTAGATCGATCTTGTCGGCTTCTGGACGGCCGACAGAGGTACTCACGCACAGCGTCCATTGGCTATTCGCACACAGCGGCAGAGACGTTCTCTGAGGGCTGATCCTCCGGCGGGTAGAGATCTTAATATGTGGTAGTATTGGTACCCCTCATACCCAACCCACAACCCAGTAAGCATGCCATGTGGCCGTTCTGCCCCCCAAGCATGCAGGCATGCATGATTTCAGCTGCATGTATGCCTGGCCCGCCCACTCAAGCTCACACTGTGGGGCCCACCTGTGTGGCATTCGGCAGGTCCATCATATATACGCAGTTAACAACAAACACTAATTTCATATCTTGAGATACCAACATTGTTGTTGATGGGTCACCTAATTGCATCTGTTCATCTGTCTGCAGATGGCCTGGAAATCTGGAACCGGTCTCCTCATTTCATAGATACTCTACATGCTGCACTGCCGTGCCCTTGCAGGGAAAATAATTGGAAGCTAACACACGAGTGAATCTGCTCTCTATCACTGTAGTAGTATCATGCATAATCCAGTCCCCTTAATTAATCATCTGATTAAGCTGTCTCCCGTTTTAATGTCCAACCATACGTTCATGTGCAGCTCCACCTGCAGGTCCTACTACAGTCTTCACATGTGCCATCTCATGCTTCACCACTGCTAGCAATACCAGTGTTGGAATGAAAAGGGCTGCTGAGTCAGTGCCCAGTGGAAATGAAATGAAATAAGAAAAAAAACATTGATGTGCATATGCACTAATGCACTTATGTGGGTTCATTGTCAATGATGGGCCTGTAGATTAAAAGCCCAGGCCAGGCCAGCTTTTCAGTTTTTATGTCTCATGGCCTGTTTGTGTACCCTCTTGCTCTGTTGCATCACTGTATGTCAGCCTGTCCATCCCTCCCCTTTGGTGACATATATAAAATGAATATTCCATGTCCTCTTGGTCTTCATCATTCAGCTAACCACTGAAAAGCTTTCTATCTGACACCACCATCTCACTCCAGGAATTCATGATATATATACATATAATATCCACACTGATGATCATACAATTTTCAATACACCAGCTGATTCCTCATCATGGAAAAAAAAATGGAAAGCAGCAGTCAACCAATCTTGTGCTAGCGCAACGGCTAAAGTGGTGTTTGGATGCAGTGACTAAAACGTAAGAGGTGTATCGAGAGGATGTTGTATGGAGTGTTCGGATACTAATAAAAAAACAAATTACATAATTTGTCGGTACTCTACGAGATGAATTTTTTAAGCCTAATTAATCCACCATTAGCACATGTTTACTGTAGCACTATATTGTCAAATCATGGACTAATTAGGCTTAAAAGATTCGTCTCGCAAATTAGTCGCAAACTATGCAATTAGTTTCGTAATTAGTCTATATTTAATACTCTATGCATGTGTCCAAATATTTAATAGGACAACGACTAAAATTTAGGAGGTGCAACCAAACACCACCTAAATTGAGCACACTTTAATCAGAATTAAGAAAGCTGATCTTTGTAGCTCCATGCAAATCTTAGAACCACACTACTACTTGCTAATAAGAAAACATTATGTACAGAGCTAGGCTGGATTCCAGAACTCATGCATATCTACAAATTTGCACCTTTCCACACTGAAGGTTGGCATACTTAAATTCACAAGGACCGCAGTGCTGTACAGTCCTACCACACAGTACATACTCTTCTGACCGTATGCGCGCCTGTACACATCTGCATTTACATGGTTGGTGAGATGCTGCTGAAGAATGAGCTGAACCATTGTTTGGTTGCGCAAGCGTTTCAATTTTCAGCGTGTGAAGCTAGATGGGTGCTCCCAAATGGAAGTTTGGGACCAGACAAGGAGGTGCCGTGTCCCGGCCCTCCTCGCCTACAAATCAAACCCACTCCCTGAATTTTTGAAATGCCAATGAATCTTGTGGAAGATTGCTTACTTTGATTAAGGATCGGCGGTCAGTGCAAGCAATGGATTGAGCCTACTATTGGTAGTAGTCTAGTACTACTATATGCATGATAGTGCAATGGATTAAGTCTAGCATTAGCATTGCAGGTGTTGTTAAAGTGTAAAAATCATAGCCCTTGTCTCGAGGTGATTAAAGCTCTAAATCCCTTCGTGGACCATCATTAGTGCACTGCACTGAGACGAGCTGCACTGCCATTTCAGTTCCAACCTTACAGGGTGACTGCAACGGCAAGGCACGGTCTTTTTGCAACCTGCATATGAAAAACCAGTGGAATTTCATCAGGAAATGCATGCATAGCCCTTGTCTCGAGGTGATTGAAGCACTAAACCCCTTTCAAAAGCTAGATGCAGCACCATTAGTGCATTCAGCTGAGACGAGTTGATCAGTGATTTCAGTGTCAGGGTGACTGTAACGGTAAGGTACGGTCTTTGCAATCTGCATATGAAAACCAGTGGAATTTCATCAGTCAGTTTATTTGGCGTAGTCAGATTCTTTGGCTGGTGAGAGAATCTTGGACCTTCCAGCTGCAACGATCAAAATTTCAGGCAGGCAAGGTCACCAACGTCGCCCAAAAAATATTCAGAGAATCGAGTTGGGTGTTCTAGAATATATAAAGATAGCTCGGATGGATCCCTGAACCCTGATTAATTAGGTAACCTAAGCTAATCTAATCATCGTGGTCAGCATCAGCGTCCGCAATCCAATCCAAGACTTTCTCCAAATCCAGACAGGCAGACACATCCATTTGTTTTTTTTATTCAGCTTTTTCCTCCCTTTCTCTCTCTCACAGAGACAATAATCTCTACTTGGCTTTTGCAGAAGCAAACAGCACTCGCACACTCATCTCTCTCCCTCTCTCTCTCTCTCTCTCTCTCTCGGGTCTCACTCAGCACCACCTCCCCCATGTGATGTGAAGCCGCGTCCCGCCGTCCCGTCTATCCCCTACTCCCTCTCTCTCTACTTCTCTCTCTTTTCTCCGTTGGACGCAGAGCCGTCGCCTTATCACCTCCAATTCAGCACACGAGTCAGTCACTGCTGCATCTGTTTCGGTGCACTCTGTCCCTCACCCCCTCCCTCCCTGCTTTGCTTTGCCTTCTTGGTCCTCTGTCTTCCTCCTCCTCCCCTCCTCCCCCGACGCTGCAGCTGCAGGCTTGGCTGCTTGGGTCAACTGTCTGTGCTGTGCCCTCCCTCTTCTTCCTGCTCAGCCTCCTCTGCTCTTTCATTGCTTCACCAGGCCGGTTTCTCTGTAGTCTGCTCTGACCGGTAGTTGTTGCAGTTTCTAACCGTTCTTCCTTCTGACTGCCAGGCATAGGTGGCAAAATCCAGCCCCCTGTAGATTCAGCTCCATTCCCTGCTGGCTGCAGCTCCTGTCAATCTTTCGAGGCTGCAGAGCTTTCAGTTCTTGGTGCTCTGCTTTCTTGCTCTTTCTCTCACCTCTGCATTCCTCCCTTCCTCTGGCTCTAATGGTGGATCCCTGGTAATTTTCTTTCTGCCAAACGGAGAAGACGCCATTGGATAAGATAAAGGAAGGAGAGGAAAGATGAGAGCTCTAAGCAGCGTCGGCGTCGGGCTGGCCGTGGTGTCGTCGCTGCTCCTGCTGGCGCTCACCGCGGAGCTCTACTACATCTTCGTGCACAAGCGCCGGCAGCGGCGGCGCGCCGCGCGGCATCTCCGACTCGGCGTCGTCCCCGTCCTCCTCCTCGCGCGAGCTGCTCCAGCTCTTCTGCTTCAAGAAGCCGCCGGCGGTGCTCGCGTCCACCTACGCCGTCCCGGAACCTGCCGCCACCGCCGCCGTGGCGGTGTCCGTCGACGGCGGCGGCGGTGACGACGACGACGAGACAGTGGAGGCGCAGCTGATGCGGCTCGGCAGCCTCGTCGGGCCCACGCGCCTGCTGTTCACCATCAAGGAGGAGACACGGGAGGACCTGGAGTCCGAGGACGGAGGGCGGCGCGGCCGGAGCCGCAGCCCTCGGCGAGCTGCTGCATTGCGCCGAGACGCCGCCGTTCCTCACGCCCAGGGCCTCGCCGTCGCCCGTGCCCACGGCCGCGCTGGACAACTCCTACAACCCGCTGTTCGAGTCCCCCGCGGCCAGCCCGGGCCCGGGTGCTGCCCCGGCGGTGTCGCCGCCGCCCAAGTTCCAGTTCCTCAGGGACGCTGAGGAGAAGCTCTACCGCCGCGCGCTGGCCGAGGAGGAGGCCATGAGGGCGCGGAGGTCGCCGAGGTCGCCGGCGGCCACTGCCGAGGAGGATGGAGGGTACATCACCATCGTGGTGGCGAAGAACAACCGCGTCATCCCCAAGCCGTCGAGGTCGCCGTCGCCGCCCACCGCCGCCGCCGCCGGCGGTGGCCATCAGTGAGCGCGCGACTGATGAGCAGAGCTGTTCAGATGGACAGGAGGTTTTGATGGATTAATGACTTGCTTCATACTCCCTCCCTGTGCATTCTTCAGTGTTCTACTAGTGTAGTAGCTCTTGTAGTAGCTCTTGTGATGTAGTAAAACTCTCTCCTTTTCTTTTTGTTTGGTCTATGGTCTTGTGACCATGCCAAATTTGAATCAGTGATTGGATGTATATAACATCAAAGTGATGAGGAATTGACAATTTCAGTTCAGATCAGTTTAATATGTTTCTCTTCATATCTTTTATAAGTACTCCTACATGCCAATTTGCGACCTTGTGAGGTGTTCATTTTCTTGTTGAAATGTTTGAAGCCAATTTGATGTGTTGTGCTTCAGTGGAGCTTTTTTCAAGATCTTTTTTCCATGGTGTTTTGGCTGTTCGTGCACATGATATGAGGATGACTAGTGGATTATGATGTCTGAAAGCCCACATTCACTTGTCTGAAAGTGCAACTTTGCACTTTCTGATATTCAATTTGTCAGTCGTACATGTCCTAATACAGCTCCCTTGCAATTCCTGTCAAGTTTGCTGATTCCTTGCTTACAATTCCGGTAGTTTCGCATATCTGAAGCCAACAACCTTTTAGACTTGATTCTGTTCAGAACGCAAAATTTTTCCAAGTCTTCTTCTCAAGTCCCTTTGGGCATACCTTTGTTCAGACTTCAGACCGCCTCTAGAACAAAGAGGGAGAACATGTGTCAAGAAATAAGCAGTGCCATCATCACTTTATCTGATGGTAGCAGACATTTTTCCTGGCCTTTGCCTTTCCACTGAAGTCCAAAGCATGGAACCTTTTTTTATTAATTTCTGCAGTGGAAGCATTCATAAAAGTTCTTGCAGGAAAAAAAAGCATCAGGAAAAAGGCTCTGTATTCCCATTACTGTCGAGGATGCCTTCATGTGCAGTGCACTTGCACCTTCACGCCTGTTCCTTTATCCACTTTACAGTTTAGTTACCATTCCCTTCCATCTCATTAAGTTTCTTTTTTTTCAAAAAATAAAATAATAAATTCAATAAACAAATAAACTCTTTGAGTTTTGTGACCAGAGTGCACACGCCACAAGCCTGCCATCTTTGTTTGTTCCCATGTATTCTTCTCTGATTACAGTGCTGTGCACAGTCAAAGTTTATTTGGAGGATTCAGAGAAAAGATTCCTTGACCAATATTCTTTAACCTCACCCAATAGGCTGGTACAAGCTATTTCCATGGAAATATGATTGCTTAGTGGACTAATCAACTAGGGCCTTGTTTAGATGCCACCAAAATTCCAAGTTTTTTCACTCTCTCTCCATCACATCAATTTTTAGCTGCTTGCATGGAGTATTAAATGTAGGTAAAAAAAATAACTAATTACACAGTTTAGTTGGAAATCACGAGATGAATCTTTTGAGCCTAATTGGTCCACGATTGGACAATATTTGTCAAATAAGACGAAAGTGGTACTATTCATCGGGTTGAAATTTTTTCAGCATCTAAACGAGGCCTAGCAATAGCAGTGCACATTGCAAGGTTACATCAGTGTAAGTCTTCCTGATGTTAGTGGTTGGGGCCATCAGGCCGAAAGATAGATTCACAATATAATGATCCACAAGTCAGGAACTGTCAAGTCCTGCTTGGAATTTTCAGAAGCGCATAAATGGACAAATGCAGGCTGCAGCTGTCATTTTGGCAGTTATTGACCACCTTTCGCCGTCACATCAGAATGCTTATCTGGCATTAGGCACTGACTTATAACAATCTATTCCATTTTTACTAGCTGAGTAATGACTTCAGTCTACCAGTCACTGAGCCACTAGTATAAATGTGGAGTGCATTTCAGTCCAGTGACTGAAGACTGGAAAGACACCAAAACTAAAACTGTGTCAATGACACAATGATGCATACTAACATGCTAACTTTTTAGAGTAGACGAGTGGTGAGGAAGGCAACAAGAACATGGCGGTGGCGCTGCAAGAAACGTCAACTGTTCCTCTCCTCTACAGAAACAAAATATATTTTAGCAACAAATCAGTAGGTCAATCATTGTTCATAATCTTGGCAACACGCAGTTTGGTGCCAATTAGTTTGGAGATAGATACCGTTGAAATGGACTGATTGCCCTTTCTGTAGGCTTTAAGCGAACGTAAGATTCGTCTGGTAGCCTAGCAGGGGAAGGGGATGGCAAATGCCAAATGGCAATGCTATGCTACTCCAGGCTCCAGGAGCTGCCAATCCAAAGCAGATGAATATGACGGCGTGTCGACATCCAAGCCAAAGCTTCTTCTCTTCTCACCCGACACAGATTGCGATCAGCAAATCATGCATGGATGCAAGTGAGCATGTGAAGCCGGCCGGCCTCTTGTTTATTCTGAAACTAGCAGGCCGCAAAAATTCGCAGCAGGTTAAATTAAACTACATTAAAGCTGAGCCCTTTTTTCTTATATTATAGTAGAGTCCCCCACCTGATTGATATATTGATAATTTGGCTCTTAAACAGCCATGATGGTTACAAAGTTTGTTTTCAATTGTCACCCAAAGCGTTACATTGCGATAGCCAAGATTGAGCACCATTCTGTAGCAATTGCCCTGTCGTCCCGCGGCAGTCGGCTACCCCATAGATAAGCTTCGCTTTTACACGCCACCAATGTCGCCATTAGCGAAGTCCTTTCGGATCCAAAGACTTTGGCATTCCTTCTCTTCCAGATGTGCCAAGAACATAGGAGAAGGAAGATACTGAAGTATTTGCTTGGTATGTGTTCAGGTGGTGATATGTCCTTGAGTGCCTGCACCGGCCAGTCTTGCTGTGTTGGAATCTGCACCGCATTCCAAAACTGTTGTGCGCTTGGGCAGCCAAATAGGATATGAGTAGATGTCTCTTCTGGCGCCTGACAGGTTTCACAAATGGTGTTGTCGACAATGTTCTTCTTCATAAGTGTTGTTTTGCATTGAATTCTTTCCTGGGACAGCAGCCATGCGAAAAACTTAACCCGCGGCGGCGCCTTGTTTTGACAGATGAACTTTGCCCAAGCATCCGGGGTGGAGTGCTCATTCTTCAAAGCTGTGTACAGCATACCAGCGTTCAGTTCCCCATTGGCCTTCATCATCGTGCAGATAATAAGCAGAGTTGTCTGTGAGCAGCAAGTGGAATGAGTTGTGCTCCTCATGTGTCTGCTGGCCACTGTCTTTCGTACCCACCATGGGAACTTGATGTGTCTTAACTTTCAGGAAAAGGAGTCGTCAGGGATTTGTAGGTGATGTACGTTAACAGATACCTACAACTGCACCATCCATCCAAGAATCCACGCATTCGGCATTCTGCTTAAACCAGTTTTGTGCAGAAAGCACTAGAGCGATCATTCACAAGCCTCAGACTGTATGTCATCACTGAATGACCTGACCTGAGAGACATGGCTTGTGAGATACTACTAATCTCTGAATTATATATATCTCCAACTTCAAGCCACATCTCATCAGTCATCACTTAATGACGTGTGTGATTTGAAATGGTCCTGTCAAATTAATTAAGCATGTGCGTCCTACTCTGCTATCCTACTAACAGGAGTCCTTCATAAATCTAAGCTGGATGGTGATATATATGTTAATGTTCCCTGCCTCTAGATTAAGGGCGCCTCATCTCATCAGTGAAGAGCGAAGACTGATGATGAGGAAGGGTGTCATTTCATTTCGTTTCAAGGGACCATGCATCTGATTTTGGCAAGCAAAAAATGCGTGTGTGACAGCTGAACCATATCTCTGAAGAAAGCTGATTCATGCCTTGCAGAAACACTACACGTCACATGTGGTTCGAAAAGTCAAATTTTATCTGATCGCCTGCCATGTGTGCAAGATTTAGGTGGCACTGATGCAGACATGACTAATTTTATATGTACTACCTCACAAGTTATTCAGTAGTCCAAGTCTATTACTGTTAACTGCAGAGGTTACCATTTGAAGATTGATAGGAAAATGTTGCAGATGTGTTGACTCCTTTCTCTGCCTGCATTGGAAATTGGAATGGATCTGGTCTGTGGCTCCACTCTGAACTCTGAAGCCATGGAAGCAAGAAAGCTCAACGCTGAAGTCTGAAGCCATGGAAGCAAGAAAGCTGCACTGTATGTTGACCCAATTGTGGATCAGTTAAGATCAGAGCTGGTATGAGTATGTTCCTTTTCCTCAAAAAATGAGTATGTTCCTTGCAATGCCAGAAAGTGCAGGATATAGGCATGTAGCAGCTGCATTTTGTCTTGGGAATTTAACTTTAATGTGCTGGTACTATTGGCAGAGGTAGTACATCGGTACATCCATAACACATACTGTTTCCTGCATTTTGCTTAGGTGGTGGCTCATCAGGCAACGTTGAAGAATGAAGGGGCCATGCTGTCCATGACTCTATTCATCTGATGTTGGCAAGAGAAAAAGTATCTCAGATGAAACCTGAAATCATGCCTGCCTTGCAGGTACAGTACATGTCACATTGTCTACTCACATGGATGTAGGGGGACAGTCAATTTTTTTCATCTGATGGCCTGCCAAGTGTGCAAAGATTCAGGTGCTACTGAACAACTGATAGACAGACAGGCCTAATATGATTCAGGCAAAGGAGTCAGCAATCTCAAGAATTACAGTAATATGTTACAGTAACAGTAATCCAGTAGTATGTGACGAGCATGTTGCCAACTTGCCATGTTGGAAGTTTGGAACGAAGACTCTCCTTGCTCTGCGTTGGAATCTGTGGCTCAACTCTTATTCTCTGAAGCCAAGGAAGCAGGCACTATGGATCTCTGTCAAGAGCTGGTAAGACTAGAACATGTTACTTGCGATATCAAAAAGTGCAGTAGATAGCTGCGTCATTTTGTCTTGAGAATCTACTTTAATCTGACCCTTTGGAGTCGAGCTTGTCAGATTCCCCCTCCAGCTGCTGCTGCTTTAGCTGTTGCACGTAATCTATCCGCCTTCATTTCACTTTCGTCTGTTTTTT